TTCTGCTCCTAATCTGTGTATTTATCTAGTGGTTTATGTTGATGATATTGTTATTAATGGTAACGATCAGGTTGGTATTACTAATCTGAAGCAATATCTCTTTCAGCACTTCCATACTAAGGATCTGGGCAGATTGAAGTATTTTCTAGGTATTGAGGTCGCTCAGTCTAGCTCAGGTATTATTATTTCACAGCGGAAGTATGCCTTATACATTCTTGAGGAGATGGGAATAAAGGGTTGCAGACCTATTGACTCTCTTATGGATCTGAATGCTAAGCTTCTGCCTGGACAGGGGGAGCCTCTTAGAGACCCTACGAGATATAGGAGGTTGGTTGGCAAATTGAATTACCTCACAGTGACTAGACCTGACATTTCTTTTCCGGTGAGTGTTGTAAGTCAGTTTATGGATTCTCCTTGTGATAGTCACTGGGATGCAGTTGTTCCATTTTTCGGTATATAAAGTCAGCTCCAGGCAAAGGATTACTATTCGAGGATCGAGGCCACGAGCAGATTGTTGGGTACACAGATACTGATTGGGTAGGATCACCTTTTCATAGACGTTCTACGTCTGGATATTGTGTTCTAGTAGGAGGTAATTTGGTCTCGTGGAAGAGCAAGAAACAGAATGTAGTTGCTCGATCTAGCGCCGAAGCCGAATATCGGGCCATGGCTATGGCAACGTGTGAGTTAGTTTGGGTCAATCAGTTGCTCAAGGAGTTAAAGTTCGGAGAAATCAGCAAGATGGAACTAGTGTGTGATAACGAAGTTGCTTTTCATATTGCGTCAAATCTGGTGTTCCATGAGAGGACTAAACACATTGAGATCGACTGTCACTTTGTCAGAGAAAAAATACTTTCAGGAGATATTGTTACAAAGTTTGTAAAGTCGAATGATCAACTAGCAGATATTTTCACTAAGTCTCTTACTGGTTCTCGTATTAGTTACATGTGTAACAAGCTCGGTACATATGATGTGTATGCACCGGCTTGAGGGGGAGTGTTAGTTTATAGATATGTATAGTGTAGTCTTGTCCCACATTGGAAGAGGAGTAATATCTCCTTGTAGTGTATAGCTATAAATAGGGACCTCTTGTATTGTATTTATCATCCAATATCAATAACATATTTTCTCTCGTGCCTTCTCACAGAGGCAAAGAGATATTTCCACCTTCTAGATAAAATGCTCATCCTAGCTGCATCTATTACTGTCAAATGTGGGAGAATGGAAATCAAAACATCATCTGGTAGCTGACCGAAGTAATCCTCCTTTGCACCATGAATCTAATTGCATTACAAGTTCCAGCAAGAATCTTTAAGGAGAAATTTTATATAAGTCATGTTATTCCAGAAAAAAGAACTAATAAACTAAATTCAAAGTTTTTTTTTCCTTTCTGGAGATTCAAAGATTACTATGACTATTTTTTAAAATCTTGCCAATTTGTTTCCATAAGACACCATCAAAATCAGATTTTGCACGTACCTCTGCCAAAGAAAGGGGCACCAAATACTTTTTGATTAAGCGACGAACTTTACTTCTCGGTCTTTTACCCAAAAACCCATAATAATTCATCCAAAGAGCAATTCCGTCCAATGTAAGCAACAACAAGATTATCCATCCTAACAACAGGAAAAGGGAAAAAATTGCATTAAACACAAAAAGGAATGAACTTTCATTATCGCAAATTCAACAACATGTTAAAGGAAGAGAATGTTTACCCGGAATATCTCTATCAGCATGCACCATATCTGTAGAATTTTGTAACCAGCAAATAATATATATGTATATGTATATGTAGATGTATTATATATAATTAATGCATGTGTGTATACTATGTACCTCTGCTGCTAAAATATAAGAGAGAAAGCACTCCAGCTTACTTGGGGCAGAAGACAAGGGTAAGGGAACTAATGATTTACTGTTGCTTGGCTTATATTGTACCTTGCACATTTTATGCTGTTTGTTCCCCTTTTTTTATTAAAAAAAAAATAGTACGGCTCTTTGTCTTTTGAATCCATCTTCCCGTTTTAATATAACTCGGGATATTCTAGTTTTACTATTTTGGCCTTATGCATCTTAGGGTACGATCAGTAAATAAAAGTAGAGTTGGTCTCTGCTCAAGTAGTTACTCAAGAACAACAGCAAACAGTATCTTCAAAGGAAAGTTAGGCTTTTTCTGTAGAATTTTTGATAGATCACCTTTAGTTCAGTCTTTGCAAATTACAAAGTACATACTGAGCATAAACTGGTAAACCACTTCTCTAATGAATTAAATACGCAACGGCAGTTTGATAAAATTCAGGCACCGACTTTCCCATGGAATGATACTTCCTTAACTTCCCAGACAACAAAAAGAGCAGTAGACACAAAGCCAAATACTTATCGATCAAGTAACATGTCTTTTTCTCATGCTATTCAATTAAAATTAAATCACTTTATCGACTTGAATGCCCAAAATGGAAAGTTAAAACTTCATGTAATAAATATGGTATGCTCAAGAATTTGAAAGCATTAAAGAAGATTGTTGTCATGAAACAATTACTTGCAAGCAAAGAGCAGTGCCGCAAAACTGGAAATTTTCCTCTTCAGAAAGGGAAGATTAACACGAATAATTAAAATAGAAACTCGTAAATATTTTCATGGCCATGGTTGTCCGTTCCTGAATGGAATGGACACTTCTAAAGTGGTTGTGTTCTTGTTGGAGACTGACCCAATCACTCGTTTGACCCTCATCAGACTTGTGTCAAACTCACCTCACTTATTAAGTTTCAAAGAAAATGTGGACAGGATGAGCAGGAGTCAAGTGTCACTTATTAGGTTTCAAAGAAACATGATCTGTATCAATCACTGTTAATAGATAATGATGCATACATTTAAATGTTCAAGGTTATTGTCTCCTTTTCTTTTTCGTTGGAATAGTTCACATATACATAACTAATAAAATCATCTGTTTATAACCCCCCACCCCACCCCAAAAAAAAAAAGGAAAAGGGTCTTACCTCATGCAAGTCTGCTTTATTGTTGGCTTGGGTAATGCTTCTTTTCCTCAGTGGAGAGAAAATAGGAAAAATGATAGTTCTCCGATTTCCATCTGTCGTGTATTATCGCTTATGTCCTCTTTAATAACGAGATGGATGGGTTCCACTAACACTTGTTCAAATATTACTCCTTCCAAATACGTTTTCTCAGGCTTTTTTCCCTAATCCCTTTCGGATTGTGGACGATAAATACTTCGTCTCAACTGTTGATCTCTACATTCACCTATATACTTTTGACTAGATTCAAGAATCAACCCAATACCAACAAGATACGCTACGACTAAGCTAAAAAGGGTGATAGCCAAGTGCAAGCTTTATCAAAAATTCCTGTCTGACGAGCAATCTCTATAAATCAAGAAGCAAGCAATTAAGTTGCACAAAGCTATTGGTTCTTATGGATTATGTTTTCTTGCTCGTTAGTGCTATATTCATCACTATAAATCATCCAAGTTCTTGCTACATTGTTTCCTACTTTCACAGTAAAGTGAGTATGTTGGATAAGAACTTGTTTGAGTCCATGAGGTAAAAGATAGACAGAGTACCTTAAAAGAATAAGATAAGATCTGGAAGTACTCTTACTGTGTCGAACCTAATACTTGGATAGAGAGCCAAAAGAACTAATGGTTTCGAGTGCGTAACTGACTCAGTCTTTCTCACTCTAAGAACAAAAACACTGACTGGAAATGTCTACTTGCTTCTATTTCCAATTGCTTCCTCCCCCAACTCCACCCTCCAAATTTGAAATCACAAGCTTTTTTCTGTTTCTAGATTGGTTCATCAAAAAAAGGATAACTAGACATAAAACGAAAAGTTCTTGAGCTTGAAACTGATTCAACAAGCAACGCACATTGGAAGATCTTCAAGAATGATCAAGCTTCAAGGTCTAGATAAAAGGATTTTTCCCAGGGATTTGTCCAGTGGTAAGAGGGTAAAGTGTGATGTGTGGGTTAGGCAAACATCACGGTTTTGGATCCTGCCACAAACAAAAGCCTATGTTCAAGTGAAAAAGGGTAGAGGTGTGGGCCTATTATTCACCAAACTTTGAACAGTGCGCCAAGTAAGTTTGAAATTAGTCGGATCAAACTTTATCGGCATCCACTGTAGTCTAGCTTCGTTCACTACAAGATTGCTGCATTTGTGTATACTTTTTCTCAATGTATACTTCAGCATCTTTTGCCTAAATACTCAATGATTTTAGGTAATCTTAGATATTTATCAAGAACATGCAGAATATCTTAAAGTATATGGAAGAAACTTTTAATAACCAAAATACTTTATTAGGATCAGTACTGGGTTAAAACAGTCGTGGATCATGTTTCTTACTTATATAAAATGCCAAATGGCATGTGAAGTTAGAGCCTCACAGATCAGCAAAGATATTGATTTATGTTGTCTTATTCTGATGTTTAGTTGGATAAAATATCTTTCTCATATTTCTTTTCCCATTTCCCCGAGCTGCAATTTACAAAGTTTCTGACAAAGGTTACTTCTTTTCATTTCCTTTTGATATGATTTATATCATGCTAATCGCCAGAATATTGACAAGAATGTCACATTGTTCCTAACTATATATTATTTAGCAGCCATTGCAATGTTTTAACCACAAATTTAGACGTTAAACTCCAGCAACATAACTAATGGAAATCTAAATATCTAAATAAGACGTTATATTCCAGCAATATAACAAATGGAAATCTTCTTTTAAATATCCAGGTAAAATTTTTAAGTATTTACAGCATAGCTCCTCGAAAACTGGAGCATGAGATATTGTAGGCCATCTTTGGGTAATCTTAGATAATCCATATAGCACATCCACATTATCTTAACGTATATGGAAGAAACATCTTTTATTTGGATAACGACGGTATACGACCCAGCTTGCACAACCTCAATTATTCAACCGGTTAGTCGGTTACCTGCTACCTCCTCCAAGCAGAGGTACCGAGTAATTCTACCCACCAAGATTTAGGCAAATAGAAAGAAATCACCTAGGTTTTCCTCCTCTGCTAGGATTTGATCCCTGGTTTCCACGATTTTCACCCACTTCATTGACCGCTAGGCCACACCCTTGGGTTAAACGTCTACGGCAGAAACTTCTAGTAACCAGAATACTTTCTTAGGATCATTACTGGGTTAAAATAGTTGCGGATCATTTTTTCATTATTATATAAGCTGCCAAATGTTATGTGATGTAATAGCTTCACTGATCAACAAACTTTATGTCATATTATTCTGACGTTAAGTTGGATAAAGCATCTTTTCTTATACAATTTTCCCATATCTCTAAGCTGCAACCGACAAAGTTATTGGCGAAGTTTACTTCTTTTCATTTCCTTCCTATCATTTAGCTCATGCGTAACCGCCAGAATATTGTTAAGAATTTCACATTGTATCTTAACAATAAAATATTTAGCAGCCACTGTGATATGTTAACCACTAATTTAGACCTTAAAGTTCAGAAATAGAACAAATGGAATTCTACATTTCTTTTTTTTTATATAAGGAAAAAAATATTTCTTCTAAATACCCAATTAGTGTTATAAAATAAAGACTATAAAAAAAATAAACTGAAGACAAGTATAGAGGGAGATTGATATTTTATTCAACTTTCAAACTTATGTTCATAATGAACTGAAAACTCCTCTATTTATAGAAGAAAGGAAGCAGCTGCGAGGCTTTTCAGGAAGCAACTGCAAGGCTTTTCTTTAGCTGTTTGTAAGCTGTCTGCATGAGCTGCTTGCAACCTGCTTGTTTAATAAGAAGCTGCTACAAACCATTTCATTGAGTTGCTTGCAACCTGCCTGCATCAGCTGCTTGTAAGCTGTCTGCATGAGCTGCTTGCAACATGTCTGTTTAATAAGAAACTGCTGCAAATCATTTCATTGAGTTGTTTGCAACCTGCCTGCATCAGCTGCTTGTAGATAAACTTCAACAGAGTACTAAATGGATAATCTTCTTCAGGAAGATTATCTATAGTGGAGTAATGAATGGACATCCACAATATAATATTTTCATAACACTCCCCATTGGATGTTCATTAAAAGATAATGTGTCTCGTTAAAACCTTACTAGAAAAAATCCAGTGGGAAAAAACCTAGTGAAGGAAAAAGAGTACACATATTTAGTAATACGCATTTCTAGCTGCCTCATTAAAAACCTTACAAGAAAAACCCCATGGGAAAAAACCTTAGTAAGGAAAAAAGAGTACAGTGTGTATTTCACTCCCCCTGATGAAAACCTTGTTTCAAATATTTGAGTCTCCGCTTCCAATCTTGTATATATACCATCTTCTCAAAAGTTGAAGTTGGCAAAGACTTAGTGAACAAATCTGTCGGATTGTCACTTGAACGGATTTGTTGCACATCAATGTCACCATTTTTCTGAAGATCATGTGTGTAGAATAATTTTGGTGAAATGTGTTTCGTTCTATCTCCTTTTATAAATCCTCCCTTTCATTGGGCTATGCATGCAGCATTGTCTTCGTATAAAATTGTGGATCTTTTATCACATTCCAGACCACATTTTTCTCGAATGAAATGAATCACTAATCTCAACCATACGCATTCTCTACTTGCTTCATGAATAGCTATTATCTCAGCATGATTTAAAGAAGTAGCAACAATAGATTGCTTTGTGGAGCGCCATGTTATGATAGTACCTCCACATGTAAACACGTACCCGGTTTGAGATCGAGTTTTATGGGGATTAGATAAATAACCTGCATCTGCATAACCAACAAGATCTGCACTACCTTTGTTAGCATAAAACAAACTCATATTAAGAGTTCCCTTTAAATATCGCAATATATGCTTAATCCCATTCCAATGTCTCCGTGTAGGAGAAGAGCTATATCTTGCTAGTAAATTAACAGAAAATGCTATGTCAGGCCTTGTAGCATTAGCAAGATACATAAGTGCACCAATTGCACTGAGATAGGGTGTTTCAGGACCAAGAAGTTCCTCATCCTCTTCTGGAGGTCGGAACGCGTCCTTATTCACTTCAAATGATCGAACAATCATTGGTGTACTCAATGGGTGCGCTTTGTCCATGTAAAAGCGTTTTAAGACCCTTTATGTATAGGCGGATTGATGGATAAAGATCCCGTCTGCTAAATGTTGAATTTGCAGACCAAGACAAAGTTTTGTCTTTCCAAGATCTTTCATCTCAAATTCTTTCTCAAGATATTCAATTGCCTTTTGGAGCTCTTCTGGAGTTCCAACAAGATTTATGTCATCAACATAAACAGCAAGTATAACAAATTCTTATGCCATTTTCTTTATAAAAATACATGGACAAATAACATCATTTATGTAACCTTCTTTCAACAAATATTCACTAAGGCGATTATACCACATGCGCCCAGATTGCTTTAAACCGTACAAAGATCTTTGTAATCTGATTGAATACATTTCCCGAGATTTTGAATTTGCTTCAGGCATTTTAAATCCTTCAAGGATCTTCATATAGAATTAACCAAATGAGTCATATAGGTTATGACTTACATTTAAATGGCATGACATCTTCAGGTGTCTGGACTACAGGTTTGATCCTCACAATCTTTTAAAATATTGTGCACTATATTGTATCAAATATATCGTCGACGATCATTTCGTATCAGTTCGCAAGCGACATAACTTGTTGAGATCTCATCACTTTCTTTATTTTCAGGTACCTGAACTTCTTCTGGAGTTTCATGAAATGTTATGTCGTGGGCTCTTCCAGAGCTCATTTCCTCCTTATTATGATCATTTTGATCATTTGCTCCTATTCTTTTCAAGGATTGTTACCTTTGAAATCGATTGGTCTACCACGCTTCATGCGTACAGTAAACTTTATCCTTCAGAGACTTTAATTTTAATAGGAGCATTTGCAGTTGAAATATGATATTTAATTTTGGATCAGCAAATGCTTCTGGCATTTGACTTGAATTATCTTCTAAGCGAGGATCATATTAATGATAATTCGATTCATATAGCAGATTTTCCAGCTGTTTTATTCCATCCCCCAAATGTTAGAAAAACTAACTCATATCCCCAATTTTCTTTGGGAAACATATCTTTGTGCATTGTGGTAGAGAAATTAATCATATACCACACATCAAAAGTTATTAGATAGTAAAAATATTTGGTTTATGATCCTAAACCAATTGTGAGGGGATGACTTATCATATTTTGTTGGTCTGATGCATACAAGTGTTGTTGTATGCAATTTAGAAAATCTTAGACCAACACATGAGGCTTTGTTCTCATAAGCAATAGTTTAGCCATCAATAGGAGGTATTCAATGCTAAACTAGTTTGGATATAAACCAGCATCATCAAGATGAACTATCTTGATTTCATAATCTGAAAATTATGCTCTTAATTGAGAAAGACAATTTCAAATGTCAAACTGCAGGTTGACAATAAACATACATGTAACCATCTTATATATGCATCTATAAGTGGTTCACATGATAGGTGAATAGGCTCATATTCACCTTTTACATATTCCAGAATTCGGGGATTTTAATCCCAACTTTAGCTGGTATAATCAAGTTATTATGAGAACAAGCAACACAAGAGAATTCTTGAAGAATCTTCTAGTTATTCAGTATATGCTTATCTGAATTCTCAAATAGCTCATTTAAAAATGACAGATGAAAACTTCAAGTTTGTCACGGCATGTGCTATCTCTAAGTAAACTTCTGGTTTACTATGGCATAAACTTTTGCATCAGTAAACTTCTGATTTACTGGGACTACTTTTATATCAGTAAATTTTTGATTTACTGTGACTGCTTTTGTATTAGTAAACTTCTGGTATACTGTGATACATGATATAGTACAAATTTGAAGAATAAGACGGGTAACTTCTCCCATACATATTTACCCCATATGATTGTGGAAACATGAAGATTTTCAATCTTTCAATCATTTGTAGTCTCAGTATGATAGTCATTTGCATTAGTAAACTTCGGTTTATCATAACATATGTTTTGACCACAATAATGACAAATAAGCTCTTCGGGAGCCTTCCATTTATTGTCGACAATCAAATATTATTTAGACACTACTTGTGTCATGTGTCTTCTAGACAAACTGTTAGCTCTTCAGGAGCTTTTGTTGTACTACCAAATATTGCTCACACACTTCTGGTGTCATGAGAGAAAATCATAATCAAATGATCAATATAAAGCTAATTCTAAATTTATAAATGACGAAAATTAAGAATTTTAATATTTCTACCACTAACTTTGTGACAAATATCTCCTTCAAGGAGAAATATCATTAACATCTGAATATTTTGTATCAATACGGCAACCACATAGTCATTGCATCTTTTAAGGAAAGATACACGAGTTGTTATTTCCTTCGGGGAACTCAATAACTAACCATAATATATTAATGTGGTTGTAGTAGAAATCATTCTACAAGAATGCTTTTGCCTTAGAATGATACTTAATAAAATTATCCAAGATGTTTTACGTACAACAGGTACGTGCGGCAATGATCTTTATGTCACAAAAATAATATTTATATTCTCTATTATTCTACCTCTTCAGGCGGTGAGTTGTGATATTTCCTCATTCACTCCAGGGAATGAAAATGTGCTTCAAAAATAACTTTGAATAGCTCATTATTTTTTTTAAGCACAGAAAGACATTGCTTCAAAATATTTTCCTACTTCAGGAGGAAATTTCAATTGTGTTACTTCTTCATGAGCAAATTTAAAATACGAAATATTGAGTATATATTCTCTCAATCATATTAACTCTTCTGGAGGTGAATTGTAATATACTTACAACAAGAGCGCGTTCATATTTACGACTTTATTAATATTATCACATTCACTTCAGGGAATAGATTAATATTTATCAAAAATTCTCATCCTTCAGGAAATCGAACATAATTATCTGAACGCGCATTAATCACATCAAATTGTGATGCTTCAACCTCTTTTAAAATATTTACTACTTCAGGAGCAAATCGAGGCGTGCATGTAATATAAAGAATATTTCTCTAGCTTATCTTTAATTGTAACCATAGAAAGCCTAAATTATCACTTCTGGTGGTCATAGGCATATACCACTTCTGGTGGTTAACAAAATTTAGTTACAATGAGATATACGAAATATAACCACTTCTGGTGGTTGTATATTTCTTGCAAACTCTGCTNGGCATATACCACTTTTGGTGGTTAACAAAGTTTAGTTACAATGAGATATACGAAATATTACCACTTTTGGTGGTTGTATATTTCTTGCAAACTCTGTTGGAGTTTAAGTGGATCTAACAATGTTATCCACTTTGTAATCCTTTATTAAATAGGTACAGTATACGTAACATATAACCAAGCAAGCGATGATAAAGATATTAAAATATAAGCAAAAGGCTCAAATTAAATTACACAAATTTGGCCACTCCATATGTAAGTGATATCTACATCACTACTGCCAAGAAGAAAAACTCACCACCTCAAGGATATAATCTGCCTTATGATGCTCGGAATGAACAAGATCTGACCACGGACATAAGAGTGTCGCCTTACATCGGAGATGAACACTGAAATAGAAATTAAATTCGATGTAAGTGCTCAAAATGGCAGAGTCTCGTGCTGATAACGTGTTATAAAATAAAGACTATAAAAGAAATAAATTGAAGACAAGTATAGAGGGAGATTGATATTTTATTCAACTTTCAAACTTATGTCCATAATGAACCGAAAACTCCTCTATTTATAGAAGAAATGAAGCAGCTGCGAGGCTTTTCAGGAAGCAACTGCAAGGCTTTTCTTTAGCTGCTTGTAAGCTGTCTGCATGATCTGCTTGTAACCTGCATGTTTAATAAGAAGCTGTTGCAAATCATTTCATTGAGTTGCTTGCAACCTGCCTGTATCAGCTGCTTGTAAGTTGTCTGCATGAGCTGCTTGCAACCTGCTTGTTTAATAAGAAGTTGCTGCAAATCATTTCATTGAGTTGCTTGCAACCTGCCTGCATCAGCTGCTTGTAGATAAACTTCAACAGAGTACTAAATGGATAATCTTCTTCAGGAAGATTATCTATAGTGGAGTAATGAATGGACATCCACAATATAATATTTTCATAACAATTAGCACTTTTTTAGTCACTATAGCTCCTTGAAGACAGGCTAATAAGATATTATGGGCCATGATAGGACTTCCAAGAATCTATATGAGCAGGGACTTCTCACAGAAAATCCTAACTTTGGAAAATGCAATGAGTTGATGATTAACAAGCAAGAATAGTGAACTTACAAGTCCAGATCCCGCACAGTTTAGCAATATTCAATCAAAGTAGAAGGTCAACTGTATCTGGACAAGTACATAGCGATAATGAGAGAAAGACTCTATATTTAGAGACCAAGGCCTGGACAAAGTAAGAAGCCCTTAGAACTAAATTTATTTGCTCAATACTATGAGATATATATAACTAGAGAAAGAGGAAAAGAGAGAAACTTTTCTTTTGACCTCTTCTTTTTCCAGATAGATAAGTGTTTTTCCTTGACCAGCAACAACGTCACCAGTTTTCCAGCAAGAATGACTGATTTCATCTCCATTACCCTGTGCAAAAGAAAAAATCTCCATTTTCCAGCTGCAATTCCATTGTCAGAACGAGTTATTTTTTCATTTCTCTTTCTGTCCCCCTCAGCCTCTCCCTAATGCTACTTTTATTTTTTCTTTCTAGAGGATTAGGTGAATCCTCCAACTCAGGATAAGATTTGAGCTTGTTATTTACACCAGTTCAGTGTTAAGATACTCTCATTACATGCTTCGTGCTGAACAGAGGAATAACGAGGAATCGTTAAAAATAAATATACTGAAGCCATAAGATAATGTAACACTGACGGTACAGTCAGGTATCACTACAATGTAACTGCTAATTAAGACTATCACACTTTTGGTCACTGCTCAAATCCAGAGCACCAAANTGCTAATTAAGACTATCACACTTTTGGTCATTGCTCAAATCCAGAGCACCAAAAACAAGAATGCAAAGGAATTCAGCCTACTAAACCTTATCAGAAAAACAAAAAGTTTCCAAATTTGATTTTTGGTGCAAGAAAATAAACTCATCCCAACCTCGAGGCAAGCGATATATAAGGAATCTGGAAAATCTAACACCTCAGAGTGACTTAGTCAGCGACTATGCTTTAACACCATTCTCTCATTTAGTAGTGAGGTGGACTTCCATATAACTGAAGTATCCTGCAAGGCTATTACTTAATAGTCAGACCTTATAAATAAATCAATAATATAATTAGTGATAATAATTCTAACCACAAAATCATCAATCACTAGAAGTTGGATGCTTTAGGGTACTAGTATGTAGCTTCTTCGGACCTATTTGATTATTTTATATACTACACACCAACGATGTGTTTCCCACATGCAAAGTACTATTTTTATTTATCACAAGAACGAACAACTATCTTAACAAATGAAATATTTGTAAGTCGGTGTTTCCAATCAAGAAAAAGAACACCAACAAGTTTGTTATCTAAAGTCAAGCAGTAAGTTAGGTGAATAAGAGAGATGCCCCAGCTCTCAACACAACATTGAGCATCATGACTTACGAGAAATAAGCTGCATAAATGGAGTTACTCGGCTAAACAATAACAACGTATAGGAAAAAGAAAAACCACAAACCATACGAGTGTTGATTTAAAAGTAAGACTGTGAGCTGATTAAGCTACTGCTGAAAAAGTTCTGTTTTACATGTAGTTAATACACATGAACTCTTGCATCATTCAATTTCACCTTTCTGCTGAAGTACTAGGTTACAGTTATTCATCCAAAAATGTTAAGAATTTACTCATTGACTATAAATTACAAGAGAATGCAGAAAATAAGAGAATTATGCTAATTATACAACAGGGCAACCAACAGGGATTCTTTTCTTCAAGTCCCTCTCAGTGGTTGCAAATAAATGGTGTTTTTTCTGGCCAAAGTTAAGCCCTGTAACAGGTGAGATAAATAGTCCTCAGCTCTGGTCCCTATCATCTTCAAAGAGACAAGTTCGACTTCAACGGTTATCAAGTGGTTCAAAGGGCCACAAGAGAACTAGCACAGAGGCTGCACAAAGACCCAAGAAAGGCCGGTGCCCTCTGATCCAGTAGGGACCAATACAAGCTCGATTGGAAGACAACAAAGTCCATAAAAGGCTTTATTCCTCAGATACGCGAGCACATACCTTCTCCAGCAGCAATGGCCAATCTTTGCCAAGTTGTTGCCGGTTTAGCTCCATGGCAACCCTAAAATCTTGAAATGATATCAGGCTGTCGGGAGCCTGTTCTTGCATGAATTCTGAAGATTTATCGCTACTCACCTGAATATGATGGCCTGGTCTGAGACCATTAACAGGCTTTGTATAGGTTTGCTGCTTCTTTCTGCTGATCTTAGTAGGTTCATGCCCAGACCTTGCTCCCAAAAGTTGAACACAAGATCCGATTAAACCTTTTAAGTAAGAATCTAAACCATTGTTCACCAAATTGGCACAATCGACTGCCACCCCTTCAATTCCCTGTTCTGCGGCAATCTGCTCCATGCGTTCCCTCAATGTTACGGTGTCCAACAAAGCACCAAAATTAGAAAAGCTAAAACATTTACTACTGGTTGCCAAAGGCAATTCTCTATGTGATCCAACTACGCTGACAGGGTAAAATGGAACTCCAAGCGGCGCTTGTAGCTCACTCCTAGCATGCATCTCTTTCCCATCACCACTAACCTGATCTTTGTTATGTACAGAAACTGGACCTCCAAGTGGTCTCTTTGTTAAAGAAAGTTTGGAAGTTTCTAGATTCGCTGCCTCCCTTTCGTCCTCCGATCGCTGGATGAGTCCTGGATTGTGCTGTACAGACCTCAGGCCATCAGGGGGATTCAAGTAACCATTTTCCTTAGTAACATCAAAATCACTCGATTCTTCCGCTGTTGATTGTTGAAAAGTAAAACTAGTTTTCTCATTCGGTCCAAGTGCACTACGGCCATCCCCAGCCCTACGATCACAAAAGCCTGTTCTGGCCTTTCGAGGAGATAATGGCAAAATGTCCCCATTTGACAAACCTGGTTGACTTGAAGACTGTCTTAATGAAACACGCGACCCATTTTGCTCATAAACATCATTTGAAGCCTCATTGTTGCCAAGCGCTGCACCAGGCTTCAAAAACTCATCCTCATGACTTGATGGTGGAACATTTGCACTACAAGCATTTTTCAAAATAGAACGGATAAACTGATTGTGCAGCGGAATGTTCTCTCTTCCGAAGATCCTAAGACAAATCTTACTGAACTCAACCTTGCTTATCTTCAAGCTCAGCAACCTATTTAAGTAATAAAAGTACTGTTTCGACCTATCTGATCCAAGTTTCCTCACTATCTGAGCTTTCAGTTCAGCAAGATTAATCCGTGAATGCTGATGTGGCGGTTGCATCTCTGTCAGCACATAAGTTCCATACACAAAAAGCAAAGGTTATAAAGTTTCCACTGCTCAAAAACAAAGAACTTCAGGATCAGAAACCAATTCCACCACTAAATTAGGGTTTTCCCCCAAACTCCAAAAAAACAACTTGGAAACTACAATGAATCCCTCTAATATCAATCTTTCCATTTTCCAAATCAAATCCCATCTCCAAAATCCCAACTTGTAACAGTATAAGATTTAAAGGGGCGGAGGTCAGCACCAGAAATCCAAATTCTCAACTAACTCTCCCTCCAAAAACCCAATCTTGAAATAGTTCAAATCCCAAGTCCTACTAAAACTCCAATCTTAAAACCCCATCAAAACCATTACTTTATAAAACCCTCCATTTCTAGCAAAAATACCTCCCTGTAACTCCAATCTTAAAACCCACAACTTCATTTCCAATTCAATAACTTCAAACTGCCAAGATTACCTAAAACATACCCAAAATGCCAACTTTTTCCAAAATTTGAAAGCTTGAAGCTTCACACTTCAAGTTCAAATTCATTCTAAATGAACAAAGATTTAAACTTCAAAGGTGTCAGAAGAATTAGAATTCATACAGACAAAAGTGAACACTCTTTACCTTATTGGAGCTTCACTTAACTGATACACAATTCAGATTCACAAAATATTACATATAAAAAAAACATTTTTTTTCAACTCTTACTTGTTTCTTGATACTCATGTATAAGCTTCGTCTTCCATCCCTTTGCATTTCAATTCTCCTCTGTTTATTATGTTCTTCTCCAAAAATCACATCTTTTGAATCAAGAATCGAAAATACCCACTTCCCACTTTCTCTCTCTGACACCACTCTCTCTCTCTCTCTCTCTCTCTCTCTCTCTCTCTCTCTCTTCTTGATTTCTCCTGAATCCGACTCTTCTTTGTTCTTGTGTTTTCCGTATTTATTTTAGAACTTCATATTATCACGCTCTCTCTTTCTCGTGTTATTGCACGTGAATGTTGATTGGGTGTTTATGGGGATGTGGGGGTTATAGGACTTAACTGCGCGTGGGTGAAGTAAGTTTAAGAGGATATATTTGCTCAAAGTTTGTATGAAAAAAGAAGGAAAGATTCTAAAAGAGAAATACTATAAACTGCTAAGAGGATTTAGTGAGCACTGAATTGCAGCAGTCAGCAGTCTTTACAAGGTCTTTTACTAATTTGTAGGAGTACCAAAATAGCAATGAAATGTTTTCTATTCTGAAAATGAAGAAGAAAATAATTTGGTTTGACTCAAGAAAAAAGTCAAAGAAAAAACACAACGCTTTGTACATCTGCTGAACTTTTGAGGACTTCTGTTCATTTAAAACTTTCCCAACCAACTTGACAAAATGATGATTCCCATTTTGTTTGAACTAACTAACTTCAATTATTCTATGCTTATGTTAATAGGAAGAAATCATCTAATAGATTTTTAGCTCTGTTGGGATTTGGAGTCAAGACTTCAAGATTCTGCTCTCACTTTATTAACCACTAAATTATACCTTTGAGTGCATAAAATAATTATGACCACTAATTAGAAAGTTGAAGCCGAATCTAATCCGGTTAAATCATATACTATTAAGGGAAGGGCATTAATTGAGATTCTAGACCTTAAATCAGGGCAAATGCATAGATATTTGTTTCAGATATCTGTTTCGAAGACGAATGTTTAAAGCCGAAGATTATAAAGTGTCTAATGTTTAGCCGCTTCAGAACCAACTTCGAACTTGTGGGACTGAAAAGTTGAAAATGACGAATATAAAGTTTCAGACTTTAACAACTCAGGTCTGAAGTTGAAAATTTTAAATCAGAATTGTCAAAACTTAACTTCAAACTTATGAACCAGTTAACAATATGAGGTCTGAATATATGATGATATCATTCCCTGTCTTTTATTTTTGGCAGCTCAAACTTCCGACCTTCGGATCTAAAGTAAACCTCATGTTTCGAAAATGATACCATCTTTTGGTTTTCCACTAAAGCATATCTAAAATTTTATAATGAACAAGATGATGTTCTTTATGTATTGATCGATTGACATGATCACATTTCGATTTAGAGAAAGAATCGTTCTTAGTTGGTTTGTCGCCTAAAAGTTATTGCCCCCCGCCCCTCCCCCCAAACTACCATTGAAAAAGTATGTATCCATCCCAAAGGTAGTAGTTGCTTCTTTTTTCTGTCACTTCCTTCCATAGTTAGATGTGTTTGGATATCACAATCACTCTTTTGTACTTGTTGTATTTATCTTTTTAAAAATATTATGAAGGACTTCTATTTGTGTTTTAAAAAAGAAGTTAAAAAATAAAGAAGCGGGGTTGGATCGAAAGTTGGAACTGGAGAATATAGAATGAGCTACATCCAACTTTAAACATTTCGGTGAAACTTTAGATAAAAATTTCAGGCAAAAATTTAAATTTCAGACAATTTTTATAAACAAAAGTGAGACCTAAAAAAAGCCTTCAGACATTTATTTGAAGTTTGGGTTGCCAAATTTCATACCCGTATTTCTGAAAAAAATTTAAAACTTTAACTATGTATTAAACAAGGATCCTTAACGTGGCTATTTATGCTTTCCCTCATAATTTACAAAAAACAAGTTTCATAGGAGAACTTGTTTTAACTTATTTCTATTTTCATGTCTACCTAGCTAATATGAATAAGTCTCGACTAACTGCTATTTTTCTGTATCGTTTTTTTTATGTGTGACAAAAGAATATGATACAAATTACGACGAACTCTTCTTTATGTGTTTGAACTTCTTTCAATTTCATATATGTATACGGTCGAAATAGATTTCAGCCTTGGCATGTCCGATCGAGTTCGAAGGGTGATGTATCGAAGTAAGATCCCGAAGGGGGGACGAACTAACCTCGAACCCGGGAAGGCCGGTCCGTATCGAGATCGATATCATAATCAAACTCGAATAAGAATCGAACCATGATGCAGGGTAGACCTATCGTGCTGATAATCCAGAGACCAACCAATATTGACCTGGGATCAATTCGAGGGCTCGAACCAGGATCGGGCTAGAACCAAGATCACAAGTTCGAGCCGAAATCAAGCTCAAACCAAAATCGAGGATTCTAAGCAAGATCGAACTCGCAGACAAAAGCCGTTGCAATCCCATTAGAGAGAATCTTGGCAGAAATTATGAAAAAGTTGACTTATCATAGATCTCTCACTGAATGTTTATTTTATTATGCTTGGAGCCGAATCCCTCCACTATAAAAGGGCTTGGTTATCATTTATGTAAGACGAGTTTTCTGAGACTTATATTGTAATAAAAGTACTATATTCTTCTACAGTACAGAATCGCTCTTTCAGTTTCTTAGATTGATTATATTTGTCGAATCCTAAGGTTCATTGTTTTTTATAACCTTATCTAGATTGCATTCTCTCCAATCTACATTTACATTTTATTTATCCTTGTATTTTGTATCAAGTTACACCACATATCCTCGGAACTGCGTATAAATTTAACTCTATCCATTTTGCGGGTAAACAGTTTGGCGTCCACCGTGGAGCCGAGGATAACAGTGGTCATTTGATACAAATCTGAAAAAAATACGCCATTGTGCTTTGCACTTATTTCCGAAAACATCTTGAATTTCGGGTCAGCTACGAATAACCACTGATCGAATGACTTCATCGATCGATTACGAAGCCGGCCTTCAAGATGAAACCAACAACTTGGCACCCGAGGCTCGAATCGAAGTACCCGAAATTCGAGCCGAAATACCA